AGAGCAAGGAACATGGGGACTTGGGGGAATGGGAGGTGAAGAGAGTAGCATAAAAAAATATTTTCTACTCTCTAACCAAACACTAGAAAATATTTTCCGGAAAAAATTTTCCACTCACCAACCAAACAAGGAAAAATAAGTAATAAAACCACTCATTTTCCATGAAAACATTTTCCTTTATACCAAACACACCCATAGTCAAGAAGGGTTCTCGAGGAAAAGCACTTTGATAGAAGCTTTTGAAATCACTGTTTCGCCTAAAGTTGGACAATTCCAAAAGACACTAAATAATATGTTTAGGTTAATCTTGTAATTGAGAGATAAGTTGTTCATAATATAGTTATGCCAACCACTCATGGAATGCTCAAGTAAAATTTTAAATAGTAATAACCAAAGCAGGTACAAAGGCCACAACACCAGCAAACAGGCTCCAAGTATGATATGTCTTAGCACAATAATCCGCAAATATGAACAAAGGGCTTATCCGAAAATCAGGAAACGTTTTGAACACGGAACTCATCAAATGGCTCAAACTGTTCCTACTTTCAAATATATATGTGATATTTCTCCTCCTTTGAGTAGCCTCAATGTGATAAGAGTAAAATGGTGAGAAATTTTTCCAAGCTCTTCCAGAATTAACGCCAAAAAACAAAACAGTGGTGGTGCCATGCAATACCTCAAACATGGCTTCAGTTAGAATACTTTCTAATATAGATCTTAAACCGCGTGCACCGGTGTTTTTGTCTATGGCTTTCTTGGCAATAAGTCGAAGTGCGTTCTCGGTAAACTGTAATTTGACCTGTAACATCAAAACAAATCACTTCACAGTAAATTAACTGATTTTGATCCAGTGCATCAGAATGAAGTATCATACGTTGGAGGAGCTAAACAGCACTGAGCTAAAACCTTACATTATTCAAGTTGAACATCTGCTTGTACTGCTTGCAAAGAGCATTTTTGGGTTCTGTGAGAACCTGCAGAAATAAAAATCCACAACCAAAAGGAAGAAAAGGAAGTAAGAAACAACATGAAAGGAGAATAGCAAAGAGAACATCAACTTCAAATATTTTCTTTCATCTTCAAGCAGCCTATAGTTTTTTCTCCTTTCCCTGGCAGTCCAAACTCCAAAAGGGCATAAACAACATAATTTTGAAATGCATGCGAATTGAAATTAAAAATGTCTTCCCACAACAGGTTTAGGTGATGTTTACAAACATACACAGCTATCCATTTTTCATTTTTTCAGTTGGTTGGTTTCTCTATCCAAGTTTTAACCTACTATTGTAAGATTACAGCATTTAACTAGGTTAAAGGTGCTTATATTAGATATTTGAATCAAATAGCGACAAGTTCGATAGAACTTTTGATGTAGACTATCAATGCAAAGAATCTAAAAGGAATGGAGGATTATTTGAAGAAGTCTAATAATGTAATGGTTGGCAGGCGGCGGCAGCACCCCGAGCTCTAAGTCCAAAGGCACAGAAAGAGAAGTTCATGATTTTAACTGATGTCATCATGGGAAAAAAGCTTTATAGAAAGAGAGAAAAGGCAATATCTGAAGTGAGTACCTTTAACATAACACATGGAATTTATTATTCTTCCCTTCTTAAAGTCAGCTAAGAGTCTGCAGTAGCACCTAAAGCAAAGCGTAAAACTCCCACAAACCCCATTCAATCAATCAATCACACTTAAATCTCAACCTAATCGAAGTGCAATTCCACTCTGGTCGAGCCCATTTCATTAGAACATCCTCAATACATGTATTACTATTAGGATTCATCATCATTTGACTGTTTTTAAGTTGGTCATCAACCTCCTGAGTCAGGTTGAGTCACCAAAAGGCCAATTAAAGCAGGAGAACGTGAAACTAGATACCACAACGCCAAAATGCAAAAAGAGTAAACAAACCTGAACAAGCTGATCCTCATCCAGTGAAGATAAACTCACTAAAACTGGAAACCGCCCCACAAATTCAGGTATGAGTCCATATGCTGTGAGATCGTTACTTTCTACCTAGATACAGAAAGCAGTGTCAAACAAATGCTTCCGATGCATTTGGTTTCGAGAATTCAAATGCTTCCAATGCATTTGGCTTCTAGAATTTCACAAGAATAAAGAGTCAAGCAATTATTAGATTCAGAAAAGGAAACTACGCTCAAGAGTCACAGGGATCTCCTCACAGATTCCAACAGCGATGACGTGACTATAGCATCAGTTAGACCACCAGCTCTCATGTTAGTTCGCACAGGTGCTCCAAATCCAATTGAAGAATCTTGTCGTCTGCGAGTAATGGAATGATAAGATGACCATAATATATCACTTAACCTAAATGTGTTTCATGAATTTAGTTGAGTTTGACAGAAATACCTTTCTGAAATTGTCTTCTCTAAACCAACAAAAGCTCCACCACAGATAAAAAGAATGTCTTTAGTATCAATCTGCAAATTAGTATATGGTAAAATATAAAAAGCAGTTAGCATCCGGAAAGAACAGTGATGAGGCATTTAACAAGTAGCGTCCATCTCGATACAACATTACATCTTTCATAGTGATTGCTGCAAGACATATAAACCAGTATTTGACTTGACTTTCTCCCTCCAAAAATATGCGTAGTTTAACTGAAGATATCCTGCTTCTTTTTGTTGAATAGGTTACTGTCTGACCTTTTGATTTCCATGGCCAAACAAACATTCCAGTAAAGATTTCTTTCCAAGGCCAACTTAAGCAAATTGATTTTAAATCAGTAAACTATATTACCATCCAAAAAGCCAGTAGTAAGTGTTATTCCCCAAAAAACTGTTAGCCAGCAACTTTTAGAAAAGAAAAAAGTAGATAGAAAGGCTTTACTAGATTCAGTATACCTGAATAGCATCGCCACGTGGCTGCTTCCGTGCTCGATTGTCAGGTACACTTACAATCTGAAGAAGAAATTAAGATAGAAAAAGCTTCAAAAGAGAACATATTTGAAGTCAAGGAACTACAGGCATGAATCTGTAAGCATTTTCGAAAGAGTATTAGGCAATTGGAACAAACAGATGAAACAATTTGCAATAAATACTCACAGTTCCTTCAAGCATCTTCAGCAGCGCCTGTTGGACTCCCTCCCCAGATACATCTCTGCCGATGTTCAGGCTCTCAGCCTACACAGATGACTGATGAGAGTGATTGCTTTAAAATCAATTATCCAAACTCATAAAGTAAATAATCGTTTCTGGACCTTTTTAGTTATTTTATCAACTTCATCTATGTAGACAACCCCTTGCTGAGCTGCTTCAACATTGAAGTCAGCAGCCTGAAAACAAACAAGAACACCAAAAATTTAGAGTTGAATAACTACATTGCTGATAGTGCAAAAGTGAAGCAGATTACAAAAGAGAAACTACGTCAATTGCTTGACCAAGAGATAGAAAGCTGGAGCCCGAAACGTGGAATATATATCAGGTGCGCAAACAATATATCATCATGCATATATCAGATAGATAGACAGACATGAGACATAAAAGAGGAAATGTAAGTGTTTATCATCAACAATGTGAAACGAAATTGCAAAATCAACAAAAAAAAAAATCACAAGCAGTAGTACCCAAAGAGAAGCCATCAAGATTTTTAATCAGATGATTACGACCATAGCTATATTAGAAACACTGAAGTCAAAAAGTACATTGAAAAGATTGCACAAGGTAAAAAGTTATCTGTTGATAGTATCGATATTGAGAAAATAGTTGAATTTTGTGCCACCTGCCCCTATCTTTTGTAATATTGCTGGAAACAAGAAAACTAAACATTTTGGATCATATCCCTCTTGTTTAATAAAATCGCACAAGTACAGGCGTCAGACCATTTCTGATCTGAACTCCTAATTTCACCAACTCTGATTTGAAGGGCTGTAAATAAGATGAGCTAACTGAGCAGACCGGGCATGAACAGGACGAAATTATTCATTCTGATCTAAACTCCTAATTTCACCAACTCTGATTTGAAGGGCTGTAAATAAGATGAGCTAACTGAGCAGACCGGGCATGAACAGAATGAAATTATTTTCAAACGCTATTAAATTATCATGCCTACCTCGAGTAATTTGTACAATACAGATTCCACATCCTCGCCAACATAACCAGCCTACAGAGAGAAGATGGATAAATACTTATTATTTGCAGCTATTGATATTACTAACAAAAGGTAAATAAACTAAAAATTCATTTCACCTCCTTGGAGAAGCAGGTTCACAACCAGACTCATATCTTTTTAAATGCAAGGACAAATATAATTTTCAACCACTTTCAGATCAATAATGAATTAGACATGTGTGCAACATTCAGATAGATGGAAAAAGACGTATCTTTATTAGCTTTTTAGTGGGCTTGGGCCTATGAACAGAATAACACAACAAAATAATGAAATGAAGAAGAATGAACGGGAGGCATCGGAGGAGAACTGACGAACTTCTTACTTGTGTTTGGTTAAGCAAAACCTCATCTACTTCTTTATTCACATTCTCTTCCATGTGAGCTAAACCTTCTCTATTTCTATTTAAACCAACCATAACAATGTAGATGTACAGGAGACGCAGATTCATTGATTTCCTTATCTCACTCCATGTGTGATAACTGAGCTAAGTTTTTGCTTTTTACTGCATACTACAAGCATGCACTTGCTGCTACAGTTAATAAGAGCCTCTTTGACTTCTAAAACGATGTATGTTTCCCCAGTTCAAAGTTTAGGAGATAATCTTGAGAGGAAAGTAGACAGACTTAGATATTTGATCACCAGCAGTTGAATCTTCAGTTGTTTGTCGTTTCGAAAACAAAAAATGGTAAGTTTGTCTTTGTTCAATAACAAATGAATAAAAAAAAAGAGAGCTGTACTATTTTATCCTCCTCGTTTGATCTTCTTATGGAATGTGCCAGATTAGTCCTATCACGTAAAAAACTCAATCATTGGATTACTTCAAAGGGTCTAATGGTAAGAGCGCACTTGCAAGGTGAGGGTTAAGCGCACGTTACGGGTTCAAATGTTGCCAAAGACAAGAACCTGGTATTTAAGTGGGTGGAGAAAGGAACAATTTCAAAGTATGGTGCTGTTAATTCAAACCCCCCCCCCCCCCTATTTTTTTTGATATGTAGAAGAATCAAAGCATGCAGTCATCTTTTATTTTTTATTTTTGAGTTCCTCATAAGTGGAAAAGTATACAACCTACAGCTATTTCAGGAACAAAGGAAAAATGAAATAGCATTGAATCAAGTTGAAGCGAAAAAATTATTGCAAACCTGCCTGTGTTAAAGTTGTTGCGTCCGCAATTACAAAAGGAACATTGATGAGACGAGCTAGCGTCTTTGCAAGTAGTGTCTTCCCTGTCCTTTCATTCACAGAAAACACAAGTTAGAACACAATGACCAATAAAGTCTACTGAAATTACAATTCTTATGGATAGACAACCATATATCATTTGTTTTAATAAGGTAATATAATTTTACTAACAATGGGAACATTTCCGGTGTACTAGCAGTATATACCAAAAGTAGAGAATGTGGAACACAATATGTTCTCTATGAACAAGCACCTAATCTTCTACACTAAGTGAAACTTCATGGGTGCACCAAAAAGAAACTAGGAATGAGAGGCTATTCCTCAAACTAGAATCAGATATCATACCTGAGCCAGTGGGGCCCATCAATAAAACATTGCTCTTCTCTAACTCGACGGAATCATTATCAAACATTTCCAGGTCATCTCTAACTTTACTGGAATCTGAATCTGACCTGACATTAAAATCGGTACTATCAGTGACCAAAACAAATAAAATTTACAATGCCTCTTCTCCCAAAGCATACTATTCTGCTTGTTATAAAATTTTCATCTTATGCTTAAATCTTTTTTCCCATCATAAGTAAGGAAAAGTCATTCAAAAGTGAAATAGTCAACCTAAGCTAGTGTTGGACACAAAAAAGGAGGATCCCTGTACACAATCACATCTGCCAATAATTAAGGTAACTAAATTCATAGGTACCATGCATCATCTGCAATATATGCTACACTCAGCAATATACGTAGACAATCGCAAGGATCACTTCTCCCAAAAAATAAAAATAAAAAAACCTCAAGGATTTTCTCCCACTCATTCACTTTGAACCAAAAGCAATATGCTAAAGTGAATACAATGTTTTCTGCATGACAAACGTTTTTGCAGCTTTGACTTGCATTTTAACAATTCGAAGGTGCTAAAGACGAGGCATTACGATAGATCTAGCTGAAGCAAAACGATAGCAGTCAACCAAGCTATTGGATGATGTCAGATCCGGAACACAATAGCTGCATCTTTCATGCTCCAGTTGTGCAATAATCAACATGGACCATTATGATGCTAAAACACTGAAATAGTACCCTGAAACTCCTCTCTTGCATGTTTGTACCAGAATTAGACATTGCCAAAGAAGAAAAGCACCATCAAAGTGGAGGAAGCATGTCCTATTCTCATGGCATCTCTATGTTGAAAGATTTCGTTTCTTCCTCTTTGTACTTTATCACTTATTAGATAAATCTTATCTTTTTCGTGAAGATTAGAAACAAATTCTTTATGCTCGTAGACAAACGAATATGATCATAATCTAATCTGGCCTCTGAAAGTGTTCTATGCCACATTACCAATTTGGTACATTGGATTCTTGGTCACCCTTTAGTTACTATTCCCTCTTGTGCTTGAATCAAATCCTATTAAGTGGCTGCAAAGTCCTTTTACATTTCATGAACACGAGAGGGATTTTTTCAAATTTGAAAAGCATCAAGAGCAGGTTTCTGGCAATAAAATTACAGCATCTAAGGAGAAATCAAAGTCATGATAATTGATGTTGTTCGAGACAAGCAAAACATAAACAAGTTTTTAGATGGAATGGCCTATGAGAGGATCAGACTTTCCACTAAGGCAAGACAACTTCACAAGTTCAGCACATTTTAGCTGGATGATATGTCATTTAACAGCTCACATTTACTCACTTTTTATACAAAGAGGAATGATATATTCGTTTATAATGGTTGTAAACCGCAACAGAAAGCACCTGCAAAATGGAGTATTATCAAGTCAGTAGGAACTAAATAGAATCCCATGCTTTTCTCACCCCCAACCAAAGGGAAGAATTAAGTAACTAACCTTGCCAAATATGATCCCTTATATCTAACCACACTTCATTACTCCAATTATCTATATTAGCAAAAAAAATCCAATCAAAGCAAAAGCAGAACAAAGATTACCTACCTTCTTGGCTCTCTCTTGACCAACAACAAACTGATCAAGCCCTTTACATATCTCCTTTGGTGTAGGCAATTCTATCCCCAAATTAGCACCTCCCCACCCTCCTCCTTCACCACACCCTTCTTCCTTTTCTGCTGTCGTATTGTTCTCCATTTCAGTATCACAACTACTTTGCCCACCAGCATCATCGCCTCCACCACTAGTCCCACTGTAAGACCTCAACTTTTCCCAAATTTTACCGTCATTCTTCCCACAACTCCCCACCATTTCGCCATCATTCTCTTTCTCTTTAACTCTCCCAATCTCAATGAAACTCCCGTGCAAAGGCTCCAACTTAAACGGCCTAAAGTAAAACGCCGTCCGGCAATGAGGACACAAATTCACCGCCTGATAAATTCCTGTCTCGCCGGCGGTGATCGACAACGGCCGGTTGGAGAATAGCACCGTCATCAACTTCGAACAACGCGGGCAGTTCACCTCAGCTTTTATATGATCATAGTTGTCGGAGCTTCCTTCCCATTTATGCCTAAACCCTAACCCTAGTCTAGAACCTTGGAATTTAAACCCTAAACTTATTCTAGAACCTTGGAACGAGTTGAAGAAGAGCGCGGGTTTTGGTTTGGATTTGAGAGAAGAAGAAGAAGTAGAGGAATGGAATTTGGAAGATGATAGGAAAAAAAGAGATGCTCTGAAAGTGAAATTATGGAGCTTTGATTTGTATCTGAATATAGCAGACATTTGTTAAGCCTTCTTCGTCTTCTTCTTTGGTTCTTCTGAGCTCAGTCACGAGCATTTCAATGGAGGTTTTGCAATTGAGAGTGAATTGGTGCGGAGAAGTTCTGGAAGAAAATGGGGCACCCGATACTCGCCCCACTTGGGATTATTTACATCATGTAGCCACTTGTGTGGCTTGTATTTATAATGTAGTCAAATTTTAAGAAATGTTGCAAACCTAAAAGAAAAAGAAAAGAAAAAAAACGGCACAAGAACCCTACCTGGGCTGAGCTTCAGATTGATCTCGTAGAGGTAGAATTGTAGCTCGAAACTTCAGACCAGTGGTTTAAAGTTTCATTATGGCTAAAGTTGCACTAATTTCTAATATTTGAAATCTTTTAAAGAATAGCCTTAAAGGTGACTCTCTATATTGCAAATGCCCCCAAAACCTGATTCTAGGCCCAATTTCTTTTATGAACATCCATCGGTAGAATTGGTATGGGCTTTTATTTAGTCCAGATTCTACATTTCTGCATTTATGATGAAGAGATTGTTTTCTTCACCCCAGAAACAAATGGGGTTAAATAAAAAAATAGCAAGATTTACAAGTGTTAATTGAAAAATAGTCACCGTTTTAAAAGTAATCAAAATTTAACCACTTTCATTGTAAAGATAAATTTGAATGAAAACACTATTCAAAATCCGAAAAATATTCCAGCATAATATACTGGAGTTCAATTTTTTAACATGTGAACTTCCAGCATAATATATTGGATATCCAGGATAATATACTGGAGTTGCAGCATAGTATACTGAAGTTCTAGCATAATATCCTGGAAGTTCATACACATGTGCTCCAATCTCCGGTGTATTATGCTGGAACTTTCTGTGCGCTGGAGTTCCAGTATAATATGTTGGAGGTTCATACACAGGTACACCAATCTCCCGTATATTATGCTGGAACTTTCCGTGTTGCAGCAAAATTAATGGTTATTTTTTAATGACTTTGTAAACGCTTGGTATTTTTCAATTACCAGTATGAAAACTGGCTAGCCCGTGCTATTTTCACGAAACAAATAGAAGAATTAACCAAGATAACCGTCCACCCAACTGCTTAAACTAACAATAGACGGTAGATGTTTAATATATGTATAATTCATATATAATATGTGTACAATCGTGTATAGTTAATGTATAGTTTATACATATAGGTTAAAAAAAGTAAACAGTGAATCCGACAGACTATTTATGGAGCATCTGTACATCGCGAGTGATAAAAACAATTTTTTTTACGTCGAGCGTCGCAACGAAGTTATATTGATGGTTCTGGAGATAATGACTATTGACTTGTATAAAATACATAATATTGAACAGGGATGTCAATAGAGTAAGCGGATAATGAGAACTAAATTAAAGATTGATAATAATGTTAATAGTTTAGATATAAAAAGGAATCAGCAAATGTAATTTTAGGGGCGAACTATCTAACTCATGCAATATCTTCGAAAACTAAGAGATGTTTTGATTTTCAACAAACTTATCTTGTAAACTTTTATTTTAATCAACATACTCGCCGGTACTTATAAATCACTTTGTATGTTCTTAGGTGTTGTTCTGATTTTCTTAACATATTTGATTTTCTTATCTCTGGAAGAAAAGGGCAACATGTTTATCATAATCATATTGGGTTTTTCTGTTTCTAAAAAGAAAATATAATCATCTCACAATCCGCTAGTCCTTTCCTTGGAGAAAAAAAGACTTGGACTTGTATAAATTGAAAATTCTTCCTTCTCATTCAGCAACATCCTCAACGTAGCCATATGGGGCTCTAGAGTCTTGTTTAGTGGGAGAATTTCGGGATAAGTGTTAGCCTGCCACCTGTGTTTGCCTCTTCGTGCGTTTGTTATCTCGATATTTTATACTCTCTTTTATAAAGCAGATTGCTCATCTTGGCTCGTGGATGTATGTCAAATTGACCTAACCGCGTTAAATGTTTGTGTCTCTTTTGGTATATTTCTCTTTTGTGGTATGATTTATCGTTGTTCAAGGTTTGCTTACTAGCTTCCGCATGACACCTGATTATTTCGATCCTAACATGTGTTTGATCCGGTTTGATTTCAGCAAATTTGCGAGAAGTTCCTCCCTAATTATATTGAAGAGTTGGACTATAATATTGTTAATCATTTTACATTTTTGCATGGCCGGCTGATGTTATAATCACTTCTTAATGCTGTCTAATAACAGCATTGTCACTTGGTAAAAAAGGGCAGCCGTTGAACAAGTCATTCCATATTCATACAGGGTCCGACAAAGGGCTGCACTCAAGGGAGTTGATGTAAACAACTTTGTGACTTGGTCCAGTGAGGACTTCCCACGTGTTGACATTCTGCATACATAATATTTGAAGTTGAATTTGCAGAAGAACTAAGGTTTCTTCTACTGAGATCTGGAATCATCTTTCCTTTTTTCTCCACTTTTATTATATTCAGATGATGTAATTGTTAGGGATATAGTAGATATGCCCTAGATCCAATATCATATTTGATGATTTGAACATATTTTTGTGAACGTCATTTGATATAATATATATGGCATTTGATATTCTTATCATTATTATTAATAGCTTGAATAATATGATAAGGTTCTTGATTAAATTTTGAGATTTGTCATCGTGATAGAGATCATGATAATGAGAGCAAAGTCTCTTACAATTTAATCTGAATTTGTTCTTGATCGTAGGATTATTAATCTGGACATTAGTAATTCGGTTAGATCAATATTTATGTGATCGTCTTTATGGGATAAAGATTAGTTAATCTCATTAACTAAATCACATAGATAGATGATGCATATAGAGATATGATCATTGAACCGACTCATTGGATAATTCCTAATGGTTAGAATTACCATAAACTGTCAATAGGATATTCTCTTGAAGAATGTGATGTAACAGTTTCCTTTGACCTGAGATCGTCATAGTAATTGACAAGTTATTTATTTTGCTTTGATACCAGACACCTATGGCCCTAGGGCGATAGTTGAAAGGATATTGGGTACGGTTAAATACTTGTAGAATTAGTGATTGTTCAAGATGGAATCTGTCAACTCTTGGTAATGAGTTTAAGCTCCATGTTGTCATGAATTATAAACGACCAAACTAAGACCTTGGCCAGGGCAATTGAATGAAAGAAGAAATGATTTTCTTAGGTCATTCAATGGTCGATTATATTTGACATGAACACATAGTTGGTCGCCTATTAGGATTTGACAGTTGAACCATATCCTAGGGTGATCCAGAGCTATAAGGACAGAAGGAATTACTACATTATTCTTCTACTGGTTCTTGAGAGTAAATTGTATACTTCATGCTATCCGGTCGTTAAGGAGTGTTGCTAGACGCCACCCTTGATTAGTATATTGATGTGATCAATTTGCTACCGGTTTAGTATTGAACCTATGGGGTCGCACACTAACGAATGTTCTGATCTTTGCTAAAGGATTAATTATTTTGTTATTTGATAATTAAATTAGTCAAATAAATAAATTATTAGTCCAAATGAAATATTATTATACTCTTTGCTAGCACAGAGACTATAATTAATATTGTGAACGAATTGAAGTTTTCTATTTAGAATAGAAAATTAAAATATATCTCTTGGTTAAAATATATATGTGAAATATATAATTACCATTTATTTTATATAAGAGATGTTATATAAAATATTAATAAAAGGCTTGTTAGTAATTACAATTTGGAATTGGAATAGTTCACGTGCAATTTAATCCCAATTGGAATGGGATTAGTATTTTACTAATATGAAAGCAACAGATTCCAACTTTGAGTTGGAATAATATTCACGTGACCGTCTTTGGCAACTCAAACCCATTTGAAAATGGGACTATATTTTCAGTAGGAAATATTGTTAAAAAAGGCTCATAAGTTAAAACCAACTTTGAGTTGGATTAACTAGAAAGTCCACAAAAAGGACGTGTGGCTCTCATTATCGGGATTAGTAGTTTTCTATATAAAATTATAAAGTCCAATTTATGAGTTAGTCTTCACGATTTTTCTAGTTAACCTAAGGAAACAGTTTGGTGCTGGAGTATATATATACACACATCACCAAATAACGTGAGGTAGTTACAATTTCGGATGAGCCTCAAGAAAACCACTTTATGAAAGCGAGAATACAATACAAAGCCAAGAGAGAAAATACAATTGCAAGAAAAGTGTTTCTTGTTCTTCTACCTTTGAGTTGAGATTTTTGAGAAAAATTTCAACACAATATTTCGTTCAATTTGTTCGCGGGTTTCATTGATCAAAGAGTTGATAGCAAGGATCGGTCTCGGTGTGGATACGCATAGAGTCTTCGTACTATCGAAGAAATTTTGAAACGAGACTTTCTTCACCAGGTACGTCTTAGATCCGATCTATTGACATGTAAATAAATTTTAAACACTAAAAGATCTGCCTAGGATTGTTATTGTCTTCCGCTGCGTGTTACGAACACCTATATGCAATCCTACAGTAATGTAATTCGTCCAATTAACTGCCACTTCTTTTTCTTTCTCTGCCTCTTTAGTTTGGTGGAAACAGTGCAATCGTTTTGATTAGTGGATTCTAATTAATTCATACATCTTATATGATGATATTCAGGTCTTGCTTGAGATCCAAAAAGATGGAGGTCAAACCAATCTGGAATTTTCTAAAATGGACCACAAGCTTATACCAAGAATGCAACTTTCATATGTGGTCACACTCTAAACTCTCTAGCCGGAAATCAAACATCTTCATTTCAGCTGCAATAATATTCATGTTCATGGTCCATATATTTGTAACTTTACTACTTTAAGTCTTACCTCGACAACATATATAGTTGTTTGTCGGTTTGAGACTTTAACGACCTTTTAATTTCTATATGTTGTGGTCACGCAAATCTTTTAATTTCTACCTGTAGAGTTGAAAAATCTGACGTTTTATACTTCAATTCCACGCAAGAGGTGGTTGATTTCTGTGGTATCCAATTTTAGGGTGCACTAATTATAAAATGACTTGGTTCTTTTATGCGTTTCTTAATCTACTGTTGCGGAATAAGTATGTAGAAAGTAAAGAACACAAGTATTTTTACATGGAAAACACTCCGTTCAAAAGGTTAAAAAACTACGATCTACTTTCCAGTA